CTGTAAATGTACGATGTGAACCCAGCTCCTCTGTGACTACGGTATAGCGCAGTACGTGGGAATTGTGACTGTACACAGTACAATGGACATGTGAATCAGGTTTAGGTAACTGCCCGGTAACTGTCGCCTGTCACTGTACCTGTACAGTATATTTGACGTATAAATTTGAAATGTTAACCGTGTAGAACGTGGCTAGCAGTGCTAGACCATACGTTTTGAACTTGTTAGCTGAGACCTGAGTACCCGGGAGAACTGCCTCCAGTAGGCTGGCCAGTCCCGGGAACCAGGGCAACTTCGGTTGAAAATGTTAGCCTGAAAGGTGTCGGGACTCGGAGGGTCCGGCAGGACCGTGTTATCGACGGCCTGGATTGTCCGGAGATTGCGGGCCTGGATCCAGGCCGGCCTGGATTGATACTATCCCGTGAGGAGGATACGGTAGGTAGGTACCGTAGGTAGGCCCTGGCCCCTAGGGTAGGAAGTACGGAAGGTACGGTACCGTTGGATTGCAGATGCGGTGCGGCCTGCCAATAGCCGGTACGTACCGGTTCCCGCTTGATAGGACTGCAACAGGTACTGTGACTGACCACATGATTGGCTTTGCTGCTCGATCTGCCCTCGATTCCGTGCACGCAGCAGGCTGCACAGTGCACACAGGCAAGAGAGCATGAAGCAATTGAAAGGCTGCAAAGGATGTTGATGCAACCAACTCCAAGGTTGTTTCTCGAGGGGAATTTAGGAATCTGGTGATGAATCGTTGTCTCTGAAGGTTTGTTCCGCCTGTTCCGAGTTGAAGGGAGGGTCGGGGTCCTGTGCGGCGGACTGAGGGGAGAGAGTTCTTTCTTCGGGAACGTCCTCTTCTATCAGCCGGTAAGTCACTTCTCTAAATTGGCACAGTTTAGCATTCACGAGGCTGCCCATGGCTTCTAATTGCCTAGGGCAGGTTGAAGTGATTGCGATGCTTTCTTTGTAAAATGTGGACCCTATCATGTCTGCAGTTTTCAAGCGTGCTCTCCGCAGGCACTACTGCTTTGTGAAACTCCCCCCCATGTCTTGTTGTTTGCTTGCTTTTTTCATGGAACGACTAGGACTGCTGTCTCGGAAAGCCTGGTAGTGGTAAGTTCCTTTTGGAACCTTGGAGTAAAATTTATGGTGCCGTTGGTATTTGCTCTTGTAAGCCCCTTGAAGATCTGAGAGATTGCAGATGTTCTGGGCCTGTACGACCGCAACATTGGATTTTCGAGTGTCCACTGGGGGTTCTCCTTGGGAGTAATCTTTGACCCTCTTGCAGGAGCCGTGTGAGTGTATGCACCAAACTGCCTACAAAAGGGTCCTCACTGTCTCTAAGTTTCTGGTTGTGCAGCTGGCAAGTATTGGAGGTTCTAAATAGTTCCCGGGTGCCACCTGAGCACTGCCTGTGCTGATCGCAGCCATGGCAGATGCCAAGGATCAAGAGGCAGTAGCAGTGGATGTGGCCGCCCTAGAAGAGAAGGAGTCTGGGGGTAACAAAGAGTTCGGGGGGCCCAAGGATGTGGATGAGAAGCCATTTGAGTTCTCTGAGGGTCTCACTTCAGATCGTAAGTCTTGTACCCACTTCCTCTTTGTTGCGAAAGCACTGTCTCACTTCGAAAGCAAGCAGCCGGTTGAGTTTCGTCTTCTCATGTGATGTACTTGGACCAGACACGTCCTCTTGTCGTTGGAGTAACTTGTCAGTGCGTTGTGTTTCTGATAGCATCTTTTACATTTTACAGAGGCCAAGGAGCTTTTGCACATCCATGGCAAGAACGAGCTAGAGGAGAAGGTCACTCCCAGCTGGCTAGTCTACCTTAAGCAGGTAGGTCGCATGTTAAGGTCCTTCTGTTGGACATTAGCAGCTGTATGCCCATCGATGTCCTTTGAGCTTTTTGCTTTTTGGTGACCATGTTTCTGATGCTTAAGATAATCTTTTTCCTCCAAAGGAAGTCGACAACTGAAGCTTAACTTGAATTCTGAATCCAGATCTGAGCGAACACGATCATTGATTTCCATTCTCAGATGTCTAACAAATTATGTTGTCTATCTTCCTATTCTTCAGCTGAAGGGCCCAATGCCCATTATGATCTGGATCGCTATCATTGTGGAGGCAGCTATCCAGAATTGGCTGGACATGGGCATCCTGCTAGGCATCCAATTTATCAATGCGACTATCGGTTGGTGAGCTTCCGCGGGACATTGCCTTCGATATCAGGTGCTGTAGTGTCGCTTTTGTCCCGATCACTGATTCTTTTTCGGTTCTCTTGCAGCATTGTTCAAGGTGTGTTTCTTTTTCTTTTTGAGTGCGATCATGGGCTGATCAAGGTGTGTTTCTTTTTCTTTTTGTGTGCGATCATGGGCTGATTGTTGAGGTTTATTGTAGGCTCTTTTGTTGTCTGATTGCCTCTATTTCTTCGTCAGGTATGAGACTACGAAGGCTGCCAATGCTGTTGCTGCGCTGAAGGCTTCCCTGAAGCCATTTGCAACAGTAAAACGTGATGGCAAATGGCAGCAGATTGATGCCAGGGTGGTCGTTCCGGGAGACCTCGTTGGTCTCAATGCGGGAGCAGCAGTCCCAGCAGATTGCAGGGTAAGCAAGTGGGGTCATGCTTTTTCCAGGTAAAGCGCAGGAGTCCACTGTTGCTAGAGCATGATGGTTTTTGTTCTAGCCAGGCTTCCCATATATTGTGGGAACACTCTGGTTTGCATAGGTCAGGCTTTGGTCTTCACAGCATTGAGGATTTAGCTGCTTACCTTCCCTGAGGGCGTGTCTTCTTGAGCACTCCGTCCTTGTGTGAGACAGCTACACCCTTTGTCAAGGTAAGACTACTGACAATGCGGCCAGTGCCAGATCTTCAGGGATTTGCAGTATTGAGCAAAATCCAGAAGTACCAACCGAGCACCAGCTGATCTGGCAAACCTGGATCGCACAGGTTAATGAGGGTCGCATTGAGGTGGACCAGTCTGCTCTTACGGGAGAGTCTCTTCCTGTCACGATGCGCCGTGGTGATGCGCCCAAGATGGGATCTACTATCACCAGGGGGGAGGTGGAAGGCACTGTGGAGGTAGGAGCAATTGGGGTTTGATGGCTTCGAAGGCTTGTGCTAGCTTAGAAAGTCCTTGACGGGTTAGCATGAGGGCATAGCCACCATTTTATGTCATGTGGATTTTACTGTCGAATAGCAATGCCGGCTTCCGGGCACATCAGTGTTTGTCAAGGTCAAGCACGCTTTTGCAATCCTGTGATGCAGCTTATGAAGTAGTCTGCTTTTTGCCACATTCGCTGTAGATCCAAGAATACACATTGGGTCTGATGATTTTCTCTTGTTTCTGACAGTTCACGGGCAAGAACACTTTCTTCGGCAAGACTGCGACAATGTTGCAGACTGTGGACGAGCTTGGCAACTTGCAGAAGATTCTGCTGAAGATCATGTTTGTCCTGGTCGTCATTTCACTGACGCTCTGCTTCATCGCACTTCTGTACCTCATCTTTGACAAGGATACAAGTAAGTCCGCCTGTCATTCTGCGCTGAAACCTACACTTTATTTCTCGTTCGTTATTCAGGCAACAATCCTGTGGATTGCCTGCATGCTTTGACAAGAAGTGTTCTCTTGCATCCCCTCTCCTGTAGGTGGTCATTATTGCTAGCATCTCACCGTCAGATCGTTTAAAAACTTTGAATCCTATTGCAGGCCAGGCTTGCACTGGTATGGCCCTCTTGCTCCCCCTCTAGCTCTTTCGGTGCGACACACGGGCGGTTGCTGAGCCTCCCTTGTTGTGCAGGCTTCAAGAAGGCTCTATCTTTTGTGGTGGTCCTGCTGGTGGCGTCCATCCCCATTGCTATTGAGATTGTGTGCACTTGCACTCTGGCCCTGGGGTCCCGTCAACTGGCTGCGATGCACGCCATCGTCACTCGTCTGGTCTCCATCGAGGAGATGGCTGGCATGAACATGCTCTGTTCTGACAAGACTGGCACTCTCACCCTTAACAAGATGGTTATCCAGGTAAGAATGCCTTCCCCCTGCTGCTCGGTGCATGGAGTGTTTGTCTGCTCACCTGATGAGTAGGGACTGGAGCAGTGTTCTCCGAATCTGCTTACATGAATAAATCCGCTGAAGTAGTTCTGCTCGAGTCTTTTGACCTCCACCTGGTCAGAGTCGGTAGATGGGGCGTAGGGAGTGGCAGCAACAAGCTCATTGAAGTATCATAACAAAGAGCCAGCCATACACCCTGCTGAATTGTCCGGTCTTGGCCTTTCTGCATTGCAAAAGTGTTTACACTTCTTGGTGCTTTATTGTCATCGCTGCATGCACACTTGTTTGATGATGGAGCAAGTAACGGACCTTCCTTGTGTTATTATTTTCAGGACGAGTGCCCCATTTACACTGCCGGCGTGACTCGCGACGATGTCATCCTGGCTGCCGCTTTGGCTGCCAAGTGGAAGGAGCCTGCCAAGGACGCCCTTGATACCATGGTGCTGGGTGAGTGGGTCACTGGAGCGGCTCAGGGCACCTTTGGGGGACACCTTTGGGGGACGAGTATCTGGTCCGTGTTCAAGGGTGTGCCTCAATGCAATTTGCGCTTCCATCAGGTGTGACAGTGGATTCACAGGTCAGGTTATTTCCTGCAGAAGCATGAGCAGGACTCTTCACATCTGCAAGTGCTGAGCGGTGGCACTCAGCTCTCATTTGGTGGCTTTTGCAGGAACTGCCCCCCTGGCCAAGTGCGACGAATATCAGCAGGTTGACTACATGCCGTTTGATCCCAGTGTTAAGAGGACTGAGGGAACTTTGGTGGGTCCTGATGGCAAGAAGTTCAAGACGACCAAAGGCGCTCCGCAGATTATCATGAACCTCTGCCACAACAAGGCTGAGGTAAGATTCAGGAACATGGTCTAGGCTTCAATTGCCACGCAGCCTAAGATCAGATTGTAAAAGCGGTAGGCTCGCAGCTGTGATGGTCTGGAAGCTTTTACGCAGTAAAAAGAGTTTGAGATGGCCGGGGTCAAGAGTCGTTTCCCTTATCCTTACATCAAACATCGTCCTAATCCTTACATCAAACATCGTCCTATAAGATGCCTTATTGTGGAGGTTTGAGGTCTGGTCTTTCTGGAGCTCAGCAAGTTCTTAGCAATTACATCTTTCGCTTAGTTTGGCAGTTGCTCACCGTAGTCTTGAGGAAGTCCTGCAAAATCAAGAACTTTGACCAGACATGGGTGCAATTGGCATCATGTCTTTGGCAAGCTCGCTCCAGAGTTTTGGCTGTTATGCCTCCCAGCCTCGTGAAGTTCGCTTGACGCCGGCGACTCCTGTGGTGGCTGATTGTGCCTGGGTTGCTGCTTCATGTCCAGATTGCCAAGGAGCTGGAGGCGACTGTGTATTCGTTTGGGCTGCGCGGTATCCGCTGCCTCGCTGTCGCTCGCACCATGGAAGGCACTGATGATCAGTGGGAGATGCTGGGAATTTTGACCTTCTTGGATCCTCCTCGTCCTGACACCAAGAGGACCATTGAGAGGGCAATGGAGTATGGCGTTGGCGTTAAGATGATCACGGGTATGTGCTGCTCCCACTCCAAGGGTCCATCCTTTTGCAGAACTTTGAGTTTACATTGGTGGAGCAGCAGACATGCTTTTTGTTTCAAAAAGCCAAAAAGCCTGGATGGTATGCCACTGGGCATTGGCAAGCTTCTCAAGCCAGCCAAGATGGAGTTTTGGTTTTGAGAACAAAGTGTTTTGAGCGCGCTCCGATGGATTCTGATTTCGTCTTGCATGTTATTTCCTTGTTGCTGAATCAGCGGGGAATCCACCACGCTCATGTGGGATGAGAAGGCCTCATCTGATGGTTCATGCCTGCTGGGTGTTCAGGTGACCAGGTTGTGATTGCGTGCGAGACTTCGCGCACCCTGGGCCTGGGCACCAACATCAAGGGCGCCCAGGGCCTGCCTGACATGGCCAAGGACGGCAAGATCCCCAAGGACCTCGGGAAGAAGTACGGGAAGATGATTGCTGCAGCGGATGGCTTCGCTCAGGTGCGACGAGGACGCCAGCTTCTTCGTTTGCTATTGTAAATCTTCTGTAATCTTGTCCGTCATGGCCTGACTCATGAACGCTGTCAGGACAAATGGTTAATGGGAGTGCATCTCTTTCTCTGAATACCAGCACTTCTGAAGTCAACAAGCTCAAGAAGGGGGTTCTAGTGCCAACCGCGCAGCCGCTGTTGTACTGTCCTTTGATGTTGTATCTGCTGTGCTGATTGGCGCGCTTGGTTGGTGCAGGTTTACCCGGAGCACAAGTACCTGATTGTCGAGACCCTGCGTCAGGAGGGTTACACTGTGGGCATGACGGGGGATGGTGTCAACGATGCCCCCGCCCTCAAGAGGGCGGACGTTGGAATTGCTGTCTCTGGTGAGCAGCTTGACTGCGGCTGAGGGGCTAAGCAGCCTGTGAATCGGGTCCTGGTGGAACACTGTCCTCGAGCTCCATTGTGACAAACGCATTGTCTGCTTTCACTAGAATCTGCAGCCCCAGTGCCTCGGAGCCATGGTGCCTGACCATCTTGTATCTTGCATGCTGCAGGTGCCACTGATGCCGCTCGTGCTGCGGCTGACATTGTGCTGACGTCCCCCGGGTTGAGCGTTGTTGTGGAGGCCATCATCATTGCCCGCTGCATCTTCCAACGAGTGCTCAGCTTCATCAACTACAGGTATGGTTGTCAAAAGCTTGTGTACTGGAGGACTGCACCCGATTGCGCTGGTCACGATATTGAGGGAAAATGTCGCATGCCGTTTGGTTATTATGAGGTGGAAAAGGCTTGCTGACATGCTTACTGGGACAGTGCTCAGCTTGTTGCATCAGCTCATGAAAGTTGTTGAGGGCGCAGGATGCAGAGTATGATTGGCACTGTTTTGGGAGCTCGATTGTCTGCCACTGACGTCTTTTGCGCCTGAAAAGCACTCCCCCTGACGGCCTCGTTCATTGTCCTGCTAGAGTGGCTGCCACGCTGCAGCTGCTGTGCTTCTTCTTCATCGCCGTGTTTGCGTTCCCCCCCACCGACTACGACATGGGCGAGGAGAATGATACGAGGCCCAAGTTCTTCCAGCTGCCCGTGTTGATGCTCATGCTCATCACGCTGCTCAACGACGGCACTCTCATCACCATCGGATACGACTACGTCATCCCCTCAAACAGGCCCGAGAAGTGGAACCTCAAGGTGTGCATACATCCAGCAAGAAAGTATTCCACTTGGTTCTCAGTGTTGCTTGGCTGCTTGTTGAGTGCTTCATGGGCTAATCAGGAAGAACCAAGGCGGTCACGGATCATCAAGAAATACATTTGCCCTTGCACGTAGGACAAAGGCCTCCCTGTATTTGTTTTAGTTCAGCCATCACAGGGCCGGGTTGGATGCTGCAAAGTGGTATCAGTCTGTTTGTTCGCTGAGCTTCAGTCCGACTCTCATTCTGACGTGGCCCCTCCTCCCCAGGTTCTGTTCCTGACGTCCTCCATCCTGGCCGCCGTCGCCTGCGGCTCCTCCCTGCTGCTGCTGTGGTGCGCTCTGGACTCGCACAACCAGAGCGGCGTGTTCCACGCCTTTGGGCTGCCCCACATTGAGTACGGCCAGATTACCACGCTCATCTACCTCAAGGTCAGTACTGCACGGTTCGCACTGGGCGGAGGCTGAGGCTGAGGCTGAGGCTGATTCGAACCCGATTACGCGTGCTGCACGGCTTCCTGGCAAGCAAGGCCGTTGAACCAGTTGCCCCTGACTTGTGTGTCCGTTTTGCCCTGCCCTTTGTCATTTCCTGACAAGCCTCTTGAACAGATGAGACGCTGTTCGACTGCATGCTTGAAGCTGCCTTTGTAAGTGAGCTAGCGCTGTCTCTGCTCGTTTCAGAATCGAATCTACTTTCTTTGGCTTAGCATAGGCCAACCTCCACTCTCCTCTCACTCCCGTGCAGGTGTCCCTGTCCGACTTCCTCACTCTGTTCAGCGCCCGCACCCAGGGCTGGTTCTGGACGCAGCGCCCCGGCAAGCTGCTCATGTTTGGCTGCTCCTTTGCTCTGACCATCTCGACGATCCTGGCCTGCGTGTGGCCCTCGGGCGAGCTGGACGACCTGGCGGTCAAGGGCCTGGCGCGCGGCAACTACAGCCTGTGGGCCATCTGGGTGTGGATCTACTGCATCGTCTGGTGGTTCATCCAGGACGCCGCTAAGGTCAGGGCCCCGCCTCCCTGCGCAGCTAGCTTGCGTAAATATGATCGAATCCTGCAAGGTGGTGTGTGCTGACGAGTTAAGTGCTTGCTGACTAGGGCTGTCTTATCAGTGTCTGCAAGGTTAATTCTTTCCAGTGTCTCTACAGCCCAATTCGAAGTATATGCACAGGAACTTGTTGAGCTTTGTGCTGATGTCCTGCTGCAAAGGGCTCCCGCTCGCTGCTGACGGTGCTGGCTGCGGCGCTCGTGACTGCAGGTGCTTGCGTACCGGCTCATCTACAAGTACAACATCTTCAACGCCCAGGCCGGGCGCAAGGTGTTGGTCAAGGACATGAGCCACTACGAGGGGCACGAGATGGAGGAGAAGCACGGCGACGACGTCGTGCAGCTCAGCTACAACGTCAAGACGGGCAAGGCCGTCGCTGCGGACCTCAAGAAGCACATGGCCGAGAATGGCGGCACCGGCACACCTGGGGCTAGCATGGTGAGCACTCAAGGGGACCCGTGTAACCTAGGGCGTGGCTGCACGCTGGCTGAGCGCTACAGCAGGCAACCTCTGGGGCTGCCAAAGGGATCCCTTGTCTGGCTTTCGACCACAGTTCGGGGGCCTGACTTGGACTGCCTGCTGTAACGTTCAGAACTTAATTAGCAGTAAATCTGAAAGATCATTGGTTGGCACTACTCTTCGTATTCCCAGCTTCTCAGCGTTCTTTTTGCTCGCGTTCAAACCCACGTTGTAACATGGACTTTTGCGACTGTCCTCAGAAAACTTTTATTATTTGTCTTGCAGCACGGCCACATGGGCAAGGAGCTCGATGCCAAGATGACAGAGGACGAGCACGGCGAGATCTACATGACCGTCAGCTACTCAAAGCAGTCCGGAAAGGACGTGGCCAGGCAGCTCAAGGAGCAGCTCCGGAACAAGCAGTGAGGCAGGCAAGCAAGCGTATGCGCTGGCATATCGAAGCCCTGCAGTGCACTTCCGAACTTCACGAACACATCTTTCCAAGAAGTGCTTTTGGCATCAGTCGGGTTACTTATTATAGGTATGTTACAAGGTACATGTAGGCGTTGCATGATAGTTTATTCTTCGTCTGGGTCAGTTCGTGTGTTACTGGTCAGTCCAACGATTCCAAGGCGAAGGGCGTTGATTCCGTTGGCACTATCAGTTATTTTGAGCATCTTCTACAGATGTTCTTGCCAGGTCTTGTCTAGTCGCGGCACCGTTTATAGAAGCGTTCAGGACTGGTTTTCACCCAGTGGGCTGCCATAGAACCGAAGGGGCAGGGGGCTTGCTTTAGGTTGTATGGGTGGAAAAATTGGCACCTGTGTTCCACGTTCTTTACAAGTCATCTTGTGTTTTCTTAGTTGCCGTCATGAGCATTTTCATGCCATCAAACTCGCGCCATTGATGGTCCTTACGAATGGAAGCGATGTAGAGGATCCTTCTGGCTCTGATTGATCATGGGATTCCATTGAAACTTGTCTGCTGGCCCCCATGATCCGGAACAGTACACATGTGTAAAAGGGTTTTAGGGTGCGGTCATAGTATGCATGGGCTTGTGAGCTCTTGGCTTGTGCATGCGCTTGTGCTGATTCATGATTGACAATTCCAGCCGACAAGCAAATTAGTCACACGTAGAGCAAAGCAAAGCAAAGGCCCATTCAAATCAATGATCACATCTGACATCAACAGATACTGACATCAGCTTGTCAGTATCACATACTGCGTCCAATGCTCGAGACTAGAGTCACTGGGGAGCGCAGACGAACGGCAGTATAGCACCAGTCAAAAACGAAAAAAGGTCCACTTGCCACATCGGATGAGCGGCGGCCACCTTCAGGGGGACGCCAACGTTACGAGAATTGGTGGGATCGAATGACAAAAGTGAAGCCAACTTACCAAAAGGGATCCCATGCAATTAAAAAGGGCTCGAAGCTCTAGCGGGCCTCCCTGACGCTTGTAGTGGCACCCGCATGATCATGTACGTACAAAACACCATTGATTATGGTGCATATATACTGCCGCGGCAATCAAATGAATGCTCGATGTATGATTGATCGGCTACATGATGCGCGGGACGGCCGGCAGTGCACTGAAATGCACCATTGAACGGGCCTGGTCCATCATGTCTACGAACACGCATGCCAGAGAGTCCCACGCACTGCAGTCAACATTCCAAATTAGAATGATTGGATTGTGGGCCGGCCGGCCACCCGAGTCTCAGACAGGCTGTGCAATGTCGTCCAGTTACGCGGCGTGCATGCGCCCAAAATTTTTGTGCCAGCTGAGCTCCCCCGACCGGGCTACTAACCATTGTCACGCATATGTGCCAGTTTCGCAATTGCAAATTGAACAAACCGGGACCCAAACGACTTGTACTGAAACTTCAAGTTGCAGCTGGAAAGTACGACAGCACGACCGCACCTATATTAGTTGTAACCCAATGAAGTGCCATTGACAATATTGCCAGACTCTTCTCGTTCAATGCTTTGCACGTTAAAGCCAACCGTCATTGCCCTCTGACTCTCATATTTCGAAGGAGTCGCCTAACTATTTAGACTAGGACTGGATACTTTTGACACCAACTTCAAGCTTGAAGCCGGACGTTGTGCTCCGGCGACTGGGAACAAGACAACGCGCTCTATTCGTCGAACTTAACGCATCATGTGAAACAATGAAGCAACGCTCATATAGAACGTAGCTTTAAAAGTGCTAAGCTTCCAGGGTGAGCCGCTTTGACATACTACCCCGGCGTTGCTGTGAATTTCGCCGCTATGTTGGCCGTTTTGTAGTCATCACGCAATTGTATGTATCTGCAAGGCACAAAGAGGACAAGCAGATCTGCATGGATGTTTGGCCGAATTGCTAGATGAGGTTCATTGCCAGCAGTTTTCTTGTTCGCATCCAGAAGCACAAAGTGCATTGCTATGTTGCGTGGCCTGAGGCACTGATAATCAAAACCGTGCACCGGACAAGCAGACGCTTGCAAGCCGACATAAGGCTCGATGAGGCACAAGCAACGTGGCCAACATGCCCCTAAAGGCAAACAAGGCCGCCTCTGTTGCGTATCCACAAGCACACCTCTGGGCGAGCCCCGCAGCGCTTCAGACCACCATTCCAATCTCTGCTTTACTGTGGCTGCGCCGAGGCAGCGGCGAGGGGTTTGTGGGGCGGGGCTCACCTCTCGGCCTCGCGGTGCATGCTGCGCAGGCTGCCGTCCACGAGCGTGGGCAGGCTCGCGGGGGCCACCACGAACACGTTCACCAGCCTGCACGCACAGCAGCACACGCGTGTCAACCAAGGCACGCAGGGACACCCGCCAAGGCGGCTCCCGCGTAACAGCTAAGGCAGGAGCGGTCTGTCCAACAGGCATCGATGAGCAGGGCCTCGCCCAGAATACAAAGCAGAGCAGACGGCTGCCACACGACATGCCCTCCCGAGCAAACAGGACGGAGTGGCATGAGCAGCTCCGCGTCGCCTCTGGCCATGCTCAGCAAGCGGCGGGTCTACGGGTCTACTGCGGACGGCTGCTGCACGAGCCCAGCGCTCCAAGCACACGATCGTATGCGGCGAGGCTGGCCGCGGGGGCGACTCACGTGCCGAGAAGCTCAAAGCGCTGGTCGACGGAGTGGGCCTTGAAGGTGCGCACGAAGTCGGCGTACTCCGAGATGTCGCGCTTCAGCCGCAGGCCGCCGCTGTGGGGGAGGGGCAGGCGTCAGCAAGCACGGGGGGAAAGCGAAGCGTGCACAGCGGTTCCAGGTGGAGGGGTCAGACGCTAAAGATGAAGCTGACAGTCCCGAAAACGGTCGCCTGTGCAGTTGGGACGAGCATCAAGGATCGTTCTTCAGATGGCAGCTGGCGACTCGCCGTAGGGCCGCAGCACTCTTTCGTGATGCTATGCTGCGACTCAGGACGTGCGGTGCCAGCACCGCATACAACGGGAAGCCTACCTGGGGTTGAACGTGAAACGGGCAATGTGGGCCAGCAGCGCCTTGTGTAGCCGGCTCCCCTGCAGGCACACGCCAAGCGCACGCTCAAGGCACAGCAGGGCAAGAGCACCGCAACGAATTGTCGCGAGGCTCAGCACCCTGGAAGAACGGTTCGCTTAGCACGGTCTCTGAGATCCGCGGCCAAGATCATGATTTGCAAGCACACAGACTACGGAGTTCTCTAGGGAACAGGGCTCCCCACCGGAGCCTGTCTCCAGAACAGCGTCGTATTGCCCGACCTTCGTGCGACTTTGTCACCCCGTCTAAGCCTTTTGACGATATTTAGAGATCAACCGCAAACAGGTAGACACGCTCCTTGACGAGTAATGACTGCATTTCGGAGTTGCCCAACCCCCATGCGGGGCAAGCCTTTCCGCATCTAAACCCGGATAAAGAGAGACGGTCCGTGAGCTCAGCCTCCAGCCGCATCATCTGCTCAAAGCGCCGCTCGCCGCTCCTCACCAGCTTGGCGAGGAAGCTCTGCTTGTTGAGCCCCTCGAGCGCGCCCTGCACCGCCTCCGCGATGCGCGCCAGATACTGCACCACGCGCACGCACGCCGCCGTCGGGCGGTGGTCCGGCAGCGCGCCGTCCGCCGTCGGCCGGAAGTCGCTCGGCTTCTGCTCCGCGGCCAGCAGCCGCTCCACCTCCGCCAGGATCGTGTCCACGCACGCGCCCAGGCCCGCCAGCGCGGCAGCCTCTGCACTCGCCACCGCAGAAGACATGGCCTGCGAAACAGCGACGGAGGGGAGTGTGCAAGGGAAGAACCGAGGACGCAAGGGGGAAAGGTTCAATCTCAGATTTGTAGTTTGGCGTGGCTGGCAAGACTTGGTATCTCTCAGCGACTGAAGGCCGCCCCTTTTGACCTGTTAGAGCAAAGGAGGATTTTGATCAGGAAAAGGCGACGACCATTTCCTGCTTCCAGCTAGAAACACTGCCTCCTACATCCTCGAGGATGGAGCAGCTTCCTCTCGAAGAACTTGCCTGAGAGCATGGAGCACAACCATGCACTCAGAGTATCACGAGTGTCAGCTGCCCCGCACTCCAGCCACCGCGGCTCTGTCCAATCCCTCTTCAGCGTGCGCGTCCCCTCACCTGGCTGCAGGCCGCGGCATCGCCCTCCCCCGGCAGCACGAGCCGCGCGACGCTGGTGACGTAGTGCTGCTGCAGGAGCGCCACCCCCATGGTCGCGCGCTGCACCGCCACCATGAACGCGCGCACGCTGCTCTCCCCCGCATTCGCCGCCGCCTCTGCCGCGGACGCCGCTGCGGCCGCGACCCGCCGGCTGACGCTCGTGCCGATCATGTAGCGCTCGCGCTTGGCCGCCGCGTCGCTCAGCGTCTCCTGCCCGCGCTCCAGGCCCTCTCGCAAGTACTGGCTCACCTGGACGGGGGGGCACGGGAAGGGCGGTCAGCAGAGAACAGTGATGAAGCGTGCCCTCTTGGCAGACTAATCCTGGGTTTAAAAACGTACGACGTAGAACGGTCACAAAGGTCCAAACAAGAGGATGGAAAGCGACGAGTAGAAGCAACGCTGAAGTTCACTTGCTGAGGACGGCTTGCCAAAGCGCCCCTGGTAAACATGGCCGAACGAATCAAGGAGCTGCATCTGGACCTGAAGGTCAATACTGAGGAGGCGACGCGACTCTCAGGGCGTGCATACAATGCCGTGTAGGTGGTCGCGGCGCACCTGCGTGACGGTGGTGGTGAAGACGTGCTTGACGTTCCACGCGAGCTGGCCCGGGTCGCGCGTGAGCAGCAGGCAGCGGCTGCCCGCCTCCTCGCTCCAGCGCAGCATGTCCGTCACGACGCCCACCGACAGCGCCCCGGGGCCGCCCTTCTTCACGGCGCCGTCGCCCCCCCCCGCGCGCGCCTCCGCCATCTTGGCCTCAAGGAGCTGCGCCAGGCTGGCCTGCTCGTGCTCCAGATAGTCGTCGCGAGCCGTGCTGAACAAACTGTCTGCCAACGCCTCACAGTCCAGATCGCCACATCCGACGCGCGTCAACTGCCCCGCCAGCTCCTGCGTGCGCTCGTACGCGGCCGCCAGCGTGCGCAGGTAGCCCAGCGTGCCCTCCGCTGCGCCGGTGGGGGGACCGCTGCCGGAGTGGCGCGGCAAGGGGGGCGGCTGCAGCAGGGCGTCCAGAACACGCACCACGCGCTGCTCCAGGATGCGCTGCGCGGGACGGGGGAGGGGGACAGCGGAAATGAGCGGATCAGGGGGGAGCTGAGAACGCTCGTAGGTGGCAAACCAGAATCTTGAGGTGAGGAAAGAGGCGGCGCAGCATCTTCTAAAGCAAAGAATACTCAGGATGCCATGATTTTCTTCAATCTACTCACTGTTGACGGAGTGTCGCTCAGCTGATTTTATCCGGACCATCTTTTGAACAGCACACAAACGAAAGATGTGCCACGTGTTGACGGATATAGGCGATTAGCCCCGACCCCGACAGTCTCTCCGCCTGCCCCCCTGCCGCACGCACCTGCACGAGCAGCGCCATGACGGCCCGCGGGTTGGGGAAGACGGCCTCCACGGTGGCGGCCTCCTTCTTGACCGTCTCCACGATGTCCGCGTACAGCACGGCCAGGCCCCGCGCGGGCGCGCCGCCGTCTCCGCCCCCGGTGGCGGTGCGCACGTCGGCGGCCATGACGTCGACGTCCATGAACATGGGCCGGCTGGCCACGTAGCGCTGCATGGCGCTGCTCCCGCGGTTGAACTGGCCCAGCACCGTCGCCCACTCGCGCATGGCCGGCAGCTCGCGCCGCGCGGCCGCCACGTCAAAGCGCACCAGCAACCGGTTCTCCAGCTCATTACAGTACTCCTGCAGATTGCCCACCGCCGCCTCCAGGCCGCTCCCCGCGGACGGAGGGGGCTTCCCACCCCCGGCGGCGGACCCCCCCGTCTGCTCCTCAGCGAATGTGCGCAGCTTCTGTGCGACAGTGGCGGCCTCGCCAACGCGCGCGTCGTCGGTGAAGAGCGGGTCCAGGTCATTGAAGTCGCCGGGGAGGCACTCGTTGAACTCCTGTGCAGCAACAACAGAAGAACGGCTGAAGGGGAGGGCACTTGGATAAGAAACAAAGGGCCTGATCTTCGCAAAATTCCAAGCAAGAAAAGAAAGCCTCGATAACTCTGACCTGGGGGTGACTTTGAGATCTATGACTGGGCCAATGAACGTCAAGTCCAACCGAAGTTGCACGTGCATTATCAGTCTGTCAAGCTGCCTCTGTTTTTAACGAGTAGCAGGCCTACTTCGGCAGCCAATTCTTGTGCACCCCGAAAGAGCACCTGGCCAATCTCTTCCGATAGAGCGCTGAGATTAACCCCTCGGCACGAACGAAGGGCTACTATTCAACGTACAGCGAACGATGTCCCTGGAGTCAAGTGCGGGAGAACACGTTTTCGCTGCTACTTTCACGACCACTTGCATGCCTGGAGGACTCCTTCCCTATCTCCCCCAATCTTTTCGTAGACCTCTTCAGGCCACTTCGAGTCTCCCGCTAGAAGCCTGAGTATGTTCCGTTATACAATACCAACAACTGCCGGTCGCCTGCCCACGTCTGGCGCAGGGTGTCACCTGCAGGTAGCGGATGAGGTCGATGGTCTGCAGCGCGGTGTCCTTCTGTGCGTCCGCCGCCTGCAGGTGGTCCCCGATGCGCGCCGCCGTCTGGCCCACCCCGGCAATGCGGTTGTCCAGCCGCGAGAAGCTGCTGAACAGCGCGCCCACCCCCGCCTCCAGCCCCGCCAGCGACGCCGCCTGCGCCGCTTCCCGCGCAGACACCTCGCCCGCCAGCCGCGCCACGCGCTCACTCACCTGCACCAGCCGCGATGAGGGAAGGCCTCTGAGCATCTCGAGTGATCGACATGTGGGCATGGCATGCGGGACTTTCCAGATGAATCAAGCTGGGCTCAAGCTTTTAGAACTACCAAGGCCGTTTGTCTTGATACATGGGACGTTACAAAGCTGGACTGGAAAGGTTGGAAACAAGCAGAATGACAAAGTGCCAGCTGTTTTGCAAAAGACGGAGGCTTTTGGGCAGTGATCAAACAGACATGTCGGCACAGCTTTTGGGCTCTGAACCGCAAGACATCCAGAATTATCCTGATGTATCCGCTCCGCGTGTCAGACCTCACGCTCTTGTTGATTGACTTCAACCTCGGCAGTGAGACTTGATACATCCCCCATCTGTGCTATTTACGCAAGGGAGAAATTTGTCCCCTGTATCAACAAGGGTGCACGGCCAAATACAAGCAGGCGTCAAGACATCCTGGGCCACTTCATGATTGAGGACATGGACAGCAATGAGCTTGACAGAGTTCGCCTCCGTCCAGAGGCCACCTCATGCACATGCCTCTTTCTGGTGATGGCCACCAGGCCACTGTGTCTCTGCCCGCTTCCCCTCACCTGCCCCTTAAGCTCCAGCAGCTCCTTGCGCGCGTCCTTGAACACCGGCAGCAGCGCTTCCGCCTCTGCAAACGCAGGGCCCGAAGGTGCGCGCACCGAGCTGACCCCCGCGTCCCCCCCTGCCCCAGGAGGAGCTGCGCCGTCCAGGGCACCTTCGGCGGAGTCGGGGGGCAGGGGGGGCAGGATGTCGCCCACCAGGCTGGAGAAGAAGGCGTCAAACGAGAAGGTGCCCTGCGCAGAAACAAGCCGAGGGAGCGTCAGGGCGGCCGGGCAGAAGCATGATGCAATGGGGCACACGGCTGCGGAGGACTTGTCAAGAAGGACATGACACATGTGGGGCAGCCTGCTGACAGTCCTCCACTCCCCATGTGCCTGGTCGTCAGATTGTTGCACCCAGTCAAAATCGGAGCCCCCCGCGGCTTGATGGACTGCGCAGAGACCAAGGGAGGGGACTGGCGGCGGGGGCACCTTGAAGTCTGCCGCATCGAGCAGGAGGGGCAGAGAGCCGGTGGAGGACGTGCGCGAGGAGCGGGCAGGCCGATCGCGCTCACGGCGGCGGGGGGGGGTGGCAGAGGGCCCAGCGCCATCCTGCAGGTAGAAGGGCGGCGCATCAAGATGAAGAACTGGAGGCATACAAGGAGCCAAATGGCGACGGACAGGGCCAACGAACCAAGTGGACCATCATACTACCACACTTCACACTTCATCAATGACCACCACCATCAATCTGGCCTTGATTGAGCAACAGAGCTCTCATATAAGGTCTCAATACTTCATAGGCCAGCACGTATGGCAGCAACTTTATAGAATCTTGTCTTCTCAATCAGCGTCCTCTAAATCAGAATCAAAGAGTGGCTTCGTTGGATATATGTGCTGGCCTATGGACGCCTGGACCAAACATACCGCTATGTTAGCTCTTCTTAGAAGGTCAGGAAAGAGAACCCATGCTTCAGTGATATGGGTGGCAGTGCCCCATTGGCGGCACTTGGACCCAAGCGATGTAACGTTTTGTTGTTGAGACTTACCGGGCTTGGTGTGAAGGATCTTCGTGCCGATGCCATGGCCCGCTGAGAGCAACCGCCCTAGAGGGCCAGTGCAGCGGTCCTGCTCACCCCAGTCACACGACACTTGGCAGATTCAACTGCGCATCCGTTTAACTCTTCTCTATGTTTCTTTTCGCAGAAGCCGTGCAGATTGTAACCATACCTGATCAATCTACCTGGTATATGTGCCAGCCGTCTGTGCCTTTGGCTGCTTGCATTTCGACCCTTGCACAGGCTTGCACTGTTGCAGATTGCATTTGCCATTGGCCCCTTGCAAATTGCAAATTTAAATTCTACTTCAACTTCAAGCATGCAAGCAACCCTTCGGATATTGTATCGGACTGGGGGCAAATTGAGTATTTAGAAACGGCTGATACGAGGGGAACCATAATGCGTCCAGTGGATTATGCGTAAATCTCAACGCACGAAACTACCGTAGCACGTACTGCCAGACGTTATTTGCTAGAGCATATAATCGTCGAGCGCAAAGCAAATTCGAGCTTGTACTCAGCTTGGGACGTGTTCGCCTACGCCTGGAGACAGTGACGGAAAAAGATGGCTGGCATTGGGCAAGATCGCTTCACGAGCAGCAAACGCCCATTCGTCATGTGAGACTTGACAAAATTGTCAAAATGTCAATGATGCGTCAATGAGTATGAAGATTAAATAGCCGCAGCACGAGGTTCTCTCTTTCTCTCCCTTTCTCATTTCTTCCCCTCTCAAATTGGATTCGTCCCTGGAGGCATGTGACGCTTTCTTAATTGTCGATTCTCTGAAAGAACGACATCTAGAAAAGGACAACATTAACTAGGATCAAAGGTCCTGTGACCGCACCACTTCTCCAGCGCGTCAAGAATCAAGGGAAGGACTGACGATTTTCAGAGCGGTATCTTTGCAGAACTCCCAAGCCCTTGTCGTGCTTCATTTCTTGGCAGCAACTGTGTCACTAAATTAGACCATACGTTCGTACATTTGCACGGTTGGACAAGCTCGGGACTGGGAGAAAGCCTTCGTCAGGTCAAGAATGTGTCTCTGAGCATAAAGGGAGCATTTCATGGGGAAAAATCAGGCCCACAAGGCCGCCCAGCGCGCCAAAGGAGGCGGGGGCGGGGGCGGAGAGGAAGAGGGGGGCTTCAATGATGGAATGGTGAGGACCGCCACCAGTGACTGGTTGCTAGGTCAGTCAACATCATTTGCGGGTGTAAGATCTGATATACCACTGGGTACACCTGCTGTAATTGTCACTGAGCTGCTCTCCGCAATACCACCTGCCTCTGTCGACTGCCACCCCTCCCTGCTCCAAGTATCTAATAGCGGTCCAACGGCTACCTTATTGGCCAAAGCCTGGTCTCTGCTTCTCGTGCGTCTGCTTGACCCGGTGACCCCTGGCTGTTTTGCCAGACAGATGCGACGTTTCATTCCCCCGAATGGCACGCGGCCCGCCTAGCGCAGCTGACGGATTCCACGCGCATGACCTGGGAGGAGTTCAAGCTGAAGCAGAAGGTGAGCACTGCGGCACCCTGGCATCCCCCGACAGTCTGCGCTGCCTGTGGTCGTCACTGCTGGGCTTGGCCCTCGCTCTGTCCCTAGTGCTGCCGTCGGAGTGCGGGTCCTGCTGCGCGGTGGCTGGGAGCAGTGGGGCCGGCTTCTCATGGGGTCATGTGCAGGAGGACGCCAGAAAGCAAGCGGAGGCGGAGAATGACGAGGAGCGTAAGATGCGCGAGTACCGCGCCCAGCTGGACGCGGAGAGGGCAGCCAAGCTGGCGCGAGGGACCAACCATGCGCCCGAGAAGAGCGACAAGAAGAGTAAGCGCGCACAGCGGGTCTGGCCATCTCACGTGGAACCAGAGTCTGCAATCGGAGGTCTCTCAAGAAACCACGTTGCGGAAGCTTCTTGTCTGTTGAGACAAATGATGAGCTTGGTTTCTTGCCTGCCAGTTTCTGGGGCAGTCTTTCCAGAAGTACGCACCACTTACACCTGTTGCACTTTGCAGAAATTAAGACAAAGGACAAGGATCGGGAGAAGGAGCGGAAGCATAAGAGAAGTCGGGTAAGTTCCCACTTGCATCAATCCCTCGAGCGTCCTGGGCGCCTGAGTCCACTCTTTCTCTTCGGCCCCATATACTGGTCCTAGGAGAGCAACCAGCCCCATCCGACTGCTGGGGCAGCTGTTGCCCACCAAACGGCTTCATGCGGGATGCACAGAATAACTTGTTGTTCATGTGTCTTCAACTCCAGATATAGCACAACTTTGCCCCAAATCGCAAGGTTTTTCAGAAGCATCATATATCGCCCTTCTTTGTAGGAGAAGGACAAGAGAAGACGCAAGCATGAGAGTTCTTCTTCAGCCTCGGGATCAGAAGTCTCAGATTCTGACGATCGAAGGGACAGGAAACGGCGAAAGAAGGAAAAACGGCGGGCTAAAACATCCTCTGGTAGACAGGACAACAGCCCCAAAGGGCCAGTTAGATTATCAGAGTTTCTAAAGGGACAAGATAGCGACACCGACTAGGAGCCTTCTCTTCTCGTATGCTTTTGGAGTTCTGAGGTCGATGCAATGGAGCACCGGTGTCTGTTTGGTTAAGCAAACTGCATGGACGAACCAGGTTGAATTTCGGCATTGAAGG